ATTTTCATCGTTTTTCAATGTGTGAGCACAACTTCACCAAACGTGGTAACAAACTTCAAGGAGTCAAAAACAGGTGGCGTCAACCCCATTGGCCAACCAATGACCTCTGCAGAGGTAAAAGCGATCCTTTGTCCAAAGGCTGCATGACATTCGACACAGATCAAATCAACTAGTCTGCATCAATATGCAACTCACCTCTTAGAAATCGCGAAGAACATAACCTGATTTTATTTTCTCAGGGTTGACTTAATGAATATCCCCAGCAATAAATTTGCTACAATAATTCGATGTTGCCCTTCTAAATGGCTCTGGCCTGTTTCACCTTGCTTAAAGTTGTCGAACAAGCAAATTCCCACGTAAAAATGTTCTGGTCCTGATTATTCACCTGGATGCAGTGGTGAGTGCAGTTGTCTAATTTATTGGGCATCAAAGAGGCAGGTTGGATTTCAAACTGTTGGAACTGGTAGGAACATAGTGTGTATCCTAGCGCCCCTTCTTTGTGTGCATTCGCAAATTCACCCTCGACTGTGCTCTGCGCTGCTCTCATACCTTAGGGGCCGGCTATTAAGGAATGGCATTTAAGGCTGTTGGCTGTCGTCCCGGCTTCTCTACTTTACAAATCGAGTCTATCTGCCAAAGAATTCTACATAGCAGACGAATTGATTTTTACTTGGCTAATGTTAAATATCCCGCAGCTAGGTAGGGGTATGAATAGAAAGGCACGCAGGAACAATTGTATAGTTATAATTCATTCGTCACAGCTGCAATGTAATGTGGACGCATAAAGGATTCGTTTCGACATCAACAACAATTTTTTTCATTAGAGATAGAAAAAAAGCGTGCAAGACAAAAAACGAGCTCTAGGAGTAGCCTGATGAAGCAATGTCCAAAAAGAAGAAATTTTTGCAAACATGTTTGTAAGGATTGCTGAAAAACTCTCAGCAGAATCGAGGGAACTATATGACACTAACAAGAGTTGACAAATTGGTCGATAGGACATATTCATCGGAAGATGAGATTGCTTGTTTGAAAATTTTGGAGCACGTATCGTTTAAGGTTGCGATTATTTTACTTATAGATTGCTAAATGTCATATTTTAATGCACTAATAACACTGCCTTGACATCGAGAAGGCAACAAATTGGCCATAATCAACCACTGTTATCTCTGCAAATAATTACCACGATTATAGCAAACAAATCCTCCGTTGAATTGCGCGGTATTTGGAATGGTACGTATAGGGCAAGGTGATGTATCTGAAGATAATGGTAAGGGCACCGATAAAATGTCACTAATTTATAATTTGTAGATTCCAGTTGTTATGGTAATTTGAATCAAA